TTTAAACCAATAAGAATCGGAGAAAATTTAGTGGTGAACTATAATCTGTGATAGATAGTGAGTAGCGTAGTAGTGTGCGCTTGTTAACAAAATGACGGCTGCTTCTTGGCGTTTTCTAAGTGTGTGTGAAGAGGATTTAGATTAAGTTTTGAACGACTAGTAGATTTATACTGAAACAATTAGATTATTCGCTCTCGATTTCTATGCGTGATGGTTTACGAGGGCGCAGTATCACGCGATAGAAGTCTCGAGCTCATAATCCAGTTGTTTAAGGCGGCTTACTACAGTTTTGATGGATTGTAACTGCCCAACTTCTAACTCTTTTGAAAAATGTTCCAAGATGTTTTCCTTTTTCTATTTACTGTTACAAGATACTAAATTTTGGGTTTTTTTCTAGCTATTTTTGCGATTTTCAAATTAGTGGGGTGTTTGTTAACTGTCAATTGCTTTAATCGTGTGATCCAAATCCATTTTAAAAAGAGAACACTGAAGCGTAATATAAACAAGTCTTCCTTTTTGTCTTTTCTCGTTCACAGTAAAACGTTATCGTTTGAAAGCGCACCTTTTTCGTCTTCAGTTTAACAAATAGATTCCACTTTGCCGTGCGTCTGTTCAGGAACATATATCACAGATGACGTCAAAATGTAATAACAATTCGAATAAATGTTGTGATGTCTCGAAAATATGAGTAATTTTAAATATTGTTGTCTTCCTCATACTCTTTGACCTTACCTTGTGAAAGTGAGAGTTTGGCGAAACCTTTAAAAAAACAGGTAGATATTTAACTAGTTAGTTAAGAAGTTTTTGCATTCAGCATCCCTAAAAAATCCACTTTTTTGTCTATCTTAATGCATCAAAAAGGTGTGGACACCAGAGACTGTCAGGATCCAAAAGCCTCATATCCCTTAACAAAGAGACATGTCAAATTTTGCTGGTTCTGCAATTGCACAGGGTCCAAATGTTGGTCGAATTGATCGGTGGCTGGAGTGGAAACCAACTTCAATTAAGCCCAAGTGGTTACTTCTCTCAGGTGCTTCTGATCCTCCAGGCGGCATTACTATTTCCGACAGAAGGACCAGGGATATTCCGGGAGTGAGAAGCGGGACATTTCTTTCTGGCGTTACTCATGATTTAGCCAACATGGAAGCTGCAGTTGGAATAAATTTGTTCAACACTGTAAAAGATCTTTATCTAACCAAGTCCTCAGCCTCCGGTCAAATCCAGAAACTTTTTGATATTTGCAAACGTGATGGGGCTCAACCTATGTTATACTACACTGGACATGGAGAAATTGGGACTGGAAACTGGTGCTTTGCTGATGGGACGATAAGTATTCAAGAAATTCTTGATATGCTTCCTGAAGGAAATTACTACCCAATGATCTTCAGCGATGCTTGCTACAGTGGCCATTGGGCAAATTTCTGCCTGGAAAAGAACATCGCAGGTTTCCATTGTCTGGCAGCATGTCCGGAGTATTCTAAAGCTATTGATACCAAAGGTTTGTAAAGCCTGCAAGATAGTTAAATGATCTTTCACGTCACTCTTCTCCAAGCTCTTCTAAACACAGCAGGGGTTCATGTTTTCGAGATGTCTACTCGCTACATATTTTTATCAACTTAGGTGGCAGTGAGTTCATCACGTGAACCAAAGCGCTTCCATCCCCGTACAGCATAGTTTTGACCGGTGGGAAGAAGAGG